AAGGTAAAAAAGCAAAGGTTCCCAGTAACCAAAATAAACGCAAATGGTGCTCTACATGTCAAACAAATAAGAAAAGTAGATTGACCCAATATTCCTGCAGGATGTGCAAATATTTTTGTTTGGAACTGCAGTAATGATGTGTCAGAAATGTTCAAATGAAACTAACTTAATTTATATTGGAGGCACGCAAGAATGGAAGTTGAATCTGTCAGCACTATCCTTATCTTCGGCAGATTTTTATTTATTGGCTTATATTCCTTCAATGTAGTATTTCATCTCGATATACTCCATCTTTGATATGATTTAAATCAAATGCCTTGTCATTATAATTTGCTTACGATAGCAAAAAATTTCATTGACAAATTAGTCGGTATTCTCGACACAGCAATTATAGGACTTGAAACAGCAAACTTTGTAATGAACAAGAAATTATGTTGTTTATAGAATTAAAGAGAAGTATTATCACAAAAAACGAAGCAAACTAAACAAATTAATTGAAAGAAATTTTTAATAAAGTAAACAAATAAATATTAAGCTTTTTTTGTGTAAATTTTGATACCCTTTAGATCATAATTGTTCTTTATTTCATAAATTATGGTTTCATATTTTTAATTTTATAATTTCTGCATGCCATCTTACCAGATTTAAACTGATGATCTATAATCTGGAAAAATCGATAAATCGCCGAAGTCCCGACGAGTCCGGATTAACGACTTTTGACTGTATATAAATGAGCTTTATAGAACTGTTATGATTAAAACCTCTAACATCTTCTCTATATTATCTTCATCGATAAGACCAAAAGTATTCTTTTAGTTTGTGTGCTATTTAATTTCAGAACACAGCAACATTCGCTAGCTAAAATTAATTTTTTTGTGTAGAACATAAGCTGAATTTTATCAAATTAGTTTATGTGTGCATTCTCAGTAAATCTGATATATTAAAGATAATGCTTTCATTAATTCCATTATTTTGCAAGGTAATAAATTGAGTTATTTATTTGTATGTATAAAATTTAACTTACTTATTTAGTTATATTGTGAAATCATTTTTATTCCTGAGGTTAAAAATAAAATTAAAGGAAATATGTTTGGCAATTTTTAAGTTTTGTTCAGAACATTGGTAAAAAAATTTTATATGCTGTGAAAATAAAACAGTATGTTTCAGTATATAATCCGACATTTCTTGACTTTAGCATGAGTATTATACATTGTTTTATCCTTCAGTTAAGCAATCCATTGCAGCAGGGGGCAAATAACTCATTTTTGCAGAGGTGAAGTTTGCTGACGTGAATTAAATATTTAATTTCATAGCAATAGTACCCGCCTGCTTCCGATTTTCATAAATACCATATTTCATTACATCAGTTTGTCTAATTCTTATAAATATTTGAAATCTTTACAAGCATTTGAACTACCTTTGCTTGTTGAAAACTTTTGGTTTTTAACATTTTTTAAATTCTTTGTTGCATTTATAGGATTATTTGAAATTTATTAAATAATGAATTTCAGTTTTTGGTCTTTGTGAAAAATTAGTTCTAAATTTCTTACTTTATTTCTTTACTGATAATTTTTCAGCAGCTTAATGCATGAAAATATTAGGCATGTTTATATTTTGTTTTTAAAAATTGTTTTGTATTTATCTTTATATATATATAATCGGCTAAAGTGTGTGTCGCCGATAGTTTTTTTTAAATTCGTAAAAATGAGCACGGAATAACGTTTCTGCAGTTTTAATTAATATCTCCGCTGATTAAAGTCGTACGAAGATGAGAACAGTATCGATGGATTCGGAGAATTTTTTGGAATCCGGGGGTACGCGTCTCAAATTTCAACTCGCCGCCGTTCCGTAGATATTGTAGAAAAAAAATTTGGCACGTAGCCAAATCCCTCTAAAAGGGAAAACCAAAGAAAGAAAGTGGAAAATGTAGGGTGAAATTAGTTTTTACTTAATATCTCGGCTAATTAAAGTCCCACGAAGACGTGAATGGTCAAAATGCCATGCCACGCACCTGCGGAATCCAACAGTGTGCTTCGCTAATCCCGGGAGCCAGCCGCTCCAGAGGAGATAATGTTACTTCACCCCATATGCAGCTTAAGTGTCTGTTTGTCGCCGATAGTTTATTGACTGCTTGCGTAATTGTTAATTGTTTTATTTCCCATGCAGTGCAGCACGTGACGAATATTATGAGATAGATAAGCTGGAAAAATTAAAAATACAAGAGCACGTGCATTTAACATTTAATAAATAAATTTAAAATCTTATATATATCCAGCCTAAGTATTTGTCACCGTTAGTTTATTGATCGCTTGCATAACTGTTCTAGCCAATGGTTTCTCATACATTTATTTTCAAATCCAAGTCAGAATTTCTTTTATTGTTCCCAAAAAACAGATGTGAAATACAATGTTCCAATAAATGCATTTTCCTTTAAAATATTAAATCTGTTTTTGTATTTTAAACGGAATATTCATTTGAACACAAATTGAGCGTGTCAGGGGAAATGTGAACATTTGTTTGCATTACAACTGTAATTATATCTTTATTCCATGGAATATGTTCACAAGGATATTTGTTATTTAGTATTCTTGCCAGAGTGGGATCAAGTATTTACACTTTGCATTTAAAACAAAAATTCATTTTGTGCAGTAAATAAACTAATTCAGATTAATTCAGTTTGAATTAGCAGATACCTGCACAAATCATTTTAATTACAATTTATAATATCTAGAACAGCGGTCATTTCGTATGACCGCCGGGCTTTCTAGTATATATGTATATATACGCAGAGAGAGAGAGGGTGTTTATACATTTTAGAAAAATTTTTTAGCTGTTTAATTAATGTTTAAAATGTAAAAAAGCCTTTTTTCTCGACTATAAGTCTGCATCGTGATTTCCATGATAGACGGGCTTTTCCCAGGGATATCAATTTTCATTCTTCTTGCAGTACTTTTCAGAGTTCATCAATTGTGGTAGGTTTGCACTTAGAAAGAGTTCTTTTCTAGAGACCAAAGGCAACATCAGGGGGTCTTCCAAGGAATATGTTGAAAAGTTATGTATGCAATACCTATATCAGTCTTCATGTTTTCAAAGAATGCAGGAATATTTTTTGAAGTATGACTATTTGCTTTGTCTTGATGAAGTTTCACTCATTGAAAATCATTAGAATAAAAAATTGAATTTCTTCTGTATATTGGATGTCTCTTGATAGTATATTGAGTTCATTTTAGTATTTCTCCCACTCTGTTTATTTTAAATTTCTCATTGTATGAGAATCTTGTGACAATGATAAACCCCTTACTGAAACTTTCTTTGCATTCATGGAATCAGATTTGTACATTTTTTTGTGTCTCTTTTCAACAATAAGTAGACTTTATTTTGTTTCAGTCATTTAGGTAACTCATATTTCTTCAAGGGTCGCAATGTATTTCCATTTATCTCCTGTTAAATAGTTTTCATACTAGGTTCTACAAATTGTTTTACATTGAGCCACATGCCTCTGCAAAATCTGGTGAACATTATGTTTTTTAAATTGTTGATCTAGATTTATTATTTTATTTATTGTTGCTACAAATATATTTTTAAAGCCTTTGCGATTTATTTCTGCGTCTGTTGGCAGATTTTTCTCTTATTATAGATGATTTAATTTTAGAAATAATATGTACCTTTTTCGGATATATTTGAAATCTTCTTTCCACATAGAAATCATGATTAAAGGTTTTTTTTTTTTTTTTTTTTTTTTTTTTTTTTTTTTGTTTGTTTCTGATTGATAAAGTTGCTTAATTTGCATTTGGAAATTTTAATACCATGCATTTCACAATGTTTATGAATTATGAAATAGGAATAGTTTTCTTTGAAAACAGTGGCGTAGCTAGTGGGGCAAACGGGGACATCTGTCCCCGGGCGCAGTATCCAGGAGGCCCCAAATTGATGGTACGAAATTCTAGAATGAAATGTTTTCCATTCGTGGCACACATAGAGGAGCGCAAAATCTTCAGTTGTCCCCGGGCGCTGAAAACCCTAGCTACGCCTCTGTTTGAAAAGCACAAAAACATATCCTATAATCTACAACTTGTTTACATTCGATATTTTGAAAGAAGACTAAAAGTAGCAGATGGTATTTCTCATTTTAAATAATAAGCTGTTGCGAAACATTTGCCCTTTTTTTTTTTTAAATTCTTTATCAGAATTCTAAAACTCTATATGGGTAATTATATAATGCAGGGGATAAGTTTAAAAAAAGTATTGCATTTTTAAAATCACATTATGGAAGACTCAGATTACATCAGAAAGTAGATTCTCATTTAAAAAACTTCATGCTATATAAACTTTATCGATCAATTTAGAATTTTTTATTTATTTCAAAACATTTCACTTACATATGAATTGCAAAATAAAATCAAAATTAGTAACTAGCATGAGTATTAATTTGGTAAGTTATCACCAGTTAAATTTTTTTACCGACTAACATATAAAAAAGCAAGTCAGAATTGAATTAAATAGTATTTGTCTTTTAGCAAACTGTTAGAAAATATTTGTTTAGCTGTTGTAATGACTCTGGGTGATAATTATAATTCACAGAATTTCACTAATGTATATTTCTTTCTCTACAATAAATAAAGTGAATGTTTGTTGCAGAGGAGATGTGGCTGTCTTCAAATCAGTTTCCATTCCACGTTCTATTAAGCTTGCTGTTTTTGACATAGCATTTCCACAAAATTAAGTCATTTAGAAAATGCATCTTCAGTAAGTGCAAAGTTGAGCAAAACATAGGGTTTCTGAAAAAACTCGATGTTTTCTTTTTCGTCACTTAGCAAACTACACAGTCTCATTAGGATTCAGCATGACTGAGAAAAATATACTTGAGGGACACGCTGATCAGCAAAATGATAGTTAAAGCATGTAAATCCATGTGTTTTCAGTTTTAAATTGAAAGTATTTTGTAAAATCTTTGTATTTTTACTTTTGAAATCATATTTCCTATAACTTTATTTTTTTAGCTTACAATCAACTCAGCCATGATCTTGATGAAATTAGCAACTGCTTGGACGCTCTAGAACAAAAGAATGATAATCTTCATAAAGAAATATATAAATTACTTGAAGAAAGCAAACAAATTAGATGTGAAATAAAGGAGTGTGCATCCAGCAGTGCTCCATAACTTTCTTTACATATGAAGTATTTTCATAACATGGAAGTGTAAGAAAAATTGGTACTATACAAGATTTAGTTTTAAAAATTTAGTTAATATTAGTCAGGACTGTATCTTATATCCTATAAAGTTATCGTATTTGAAAATTTTTAAAAAAAGGTTTTTATTATGTTTGAAATGTATTTAAATATGAAAATTCTATTTTATGTGTATGTGAATTTGAAATCAATTCTTCTTGTAAGAAATTTGCAGTTATAAGAATGAAAACTATAATTTTATTTGAAGGAGTATTAAAATATAGAGTAGCATTATAAGATAAGGAAAATAAAATTTTGGATATAAGTCTGAATATGTATTCTGTATCTCTTATTTTATGTACTTATAAATATTTGTTTTATAGTTTTTTTTTTTTTTTTTTTAATATGCAAAACTTATGAAGGAATGTTATGCACTGTCGTGTTTTTCCCAATGTAAAAGATGAATTTCTGGTATCTGGTAAAACTTATTTATAATAATTTCTAGCATATACTTTTTTTGTAATCCTTCTCAAACCAGTCCCTTACTGAATAAAGCATACATATAATTCATTGATTGATCCATAAAAAATAGTCATTAGATTTCTTTCAGTGATTGCGTATTTAATGCATCATGTTTTCTCATGTCAGAAATTTCATAACATACAGTTTTTTTATACATGCTATTAGTATCAATTATTAATGCTTCCTTTATACTATTAATAAAATGGACATAAAGCATAAAAAAACTCGATGTTTTCTTTTTCTTTTTCCAAAAGCTGAACCACTAACCTTCACTGAAACTGTTAATATCAGTATTTCACAGCAGTTAACAAATTTCAATCCCCTTTCAGCTTTCTTTTGTAAAGAGTCTATTCTACTTATTGTTCTATGATATTTAAGAGCTGTATTTATCATTCTGTGGTATTTTTTTTTATATCAAGAATCTTCTATATTTATGTTCTATGCTATCGCATTGTATTTATTGTTCTGCAGTATTCGTGTATTCTTTATGAGCAATTTAATCAGATGTATTAAGTATAAGTTATTACCTAGTTACTTAAAAATAATTTCACTTATAATTATCACTTTCATTTAATTTTCATATTTTATATCTATGTTGAAAGAAATTTTTTCTATATATTACTTTGAATTAAAATTTATACATTAACTGAAATGCTTGCCGAACTCAACTAAAGTACAGTTAGCTCAATCCTGTTTTGAGAGAAGTATAAATTCATAAACACTAGTTTTTAAATTCCATTTATGTATTTTGCAACAGGGTGTAAGTGAATTTAAAGTGAGCATCGTTGGTCCTACTTTCATATGATTCCTAATTCTGAAAATAATCTTAGCATATTCATGGCTTATTTGATTAGATTTCTCTTAATAGTGTCATGTAAATTCCTTTATTGTTATTATCATTATTATTATTATTAGACCAAGAGTTCAAGCATTTCTAACTAGAAAATTCAACTTTGTATAGCTACATCAATTTCACTTTGGTTGTCAAGAGAGGTATTAACTAATACAGTAACACTTTTGACATGTATTGCATTTTAAATTTGAATGTTTCTAAATTTCAAATTAGGTATATACTTTTCTATGTAAAACTAAGTATGTATGCATGCTTCTAATGTAATTTTTATACAGTTAAAAGAAATTTTATTCAGTTTTTTAACCCTTTCGCCGTCCTCGCCTGTCCACGAAAATTTCTCCCCAGCGGCCCCTTGTTTTTCGCAGCGTGTAATGTTGTTTTCTCTGTACATACCTAACTTTGGTAGTGGATGAATGTAAATAAATATTAAGTAAAATGATAAGGAAATAAAGCATAATGGACAAGTAATAATATCTCTGCTTATTTCTAACAGCAGGATTAGTTTGATAACATCTGATCCAGGCGGTCCACTCCACATCAATCATAGAGTTATTATGGACTGTACTCATCAAACCTATATCCTTCTTGTCTTTCCAATTCACAACCGCATTTTTTCTCTTTTTCTGCTGAATAGACGTTGAAGATCTCTCACTGTCTTGTATCTTATATAAAATGGAGCGAATATTCATAAAATCCGGGGGGGGCAATTCAATTAGAAATAATGCCCGATTAGTACTACTCTCTAGGAGGTTTTAGAACAAACAAAAATAAAAACTCAAACAAGTTAGCATTTAGAAAACATTTTAAACGTTTAAAAGTTTTAAAATGTAGAAGAACGCTTGAAATGTGTTACAGCCGCCCTGCAGAAGTTTCACTTGAACGTGCTAGACGCGTTACGGACGACAAAGAGGTTAAAACATTTTTTTGATAGAATTTTAGGCATTCTTCTGTTATTGGGTATACATACATTTCTGAATCCGGTCTCAATAACTGAAGAGTACCAAATTCTAGTTATTTTAGACTTGAAATATCTAAATTTTGTATAGATTTGACTTTAAAAACATATACATATTTTTACTGCTCATTTACTTGCCCAATGTTTTTCTCGTGTTATCTTTGTCATATCTTAATGCAATATATTCCACTTTCTAATTTTACATGTCATGTTCTTAAAGACACAAAAATAATTAAATACACATTTTTTGCTGTAAAGCAATTTATATTTTCTATTCATATAGTCTGTGTAATTGATGGTTTGATTTATAGATGTACATTTTAATCTTGAAGGGTGAACTCTATTTATTTAACAGCATTATATGTATTTTGTGAATAAATTTAATAGCAGAATAAAACATTATGAGAAAACCTGAATTTGTTTGTTATTGAGAATGCTAAATAAAAATTTTATCATTCTTAATTTTTTTATCAAATATAAATTTTGTAATATATTTAAACTGTTTAATTAAAATGTAATTTTTAAAACTCTGGATGTGAAAGAAAAAAATACAGAAATTTTATGCTAAAAGTTCATGTGTACGTATTTTCATTGAACATAACTAAAATTTTTATTAGAATGAGATGCACATAAATATGTTTTTCTCAAAATAATTTGGCAGTAATAATTCTACAGTCAATTAAAATAATTTATGTTTAAATTATACAAATAAAGCCTTAATTAACCAATAACCATGCATTTATTAATAGGCCATGCAATAATATTTTAGGTATATTTATTTCACAAGAAAGATTTTAGCAAGTAATTTTAAATTTCATATTCTACTTCATTACGAAATGAGATTGATAATTTTGTTTAATGTGTTACATCTCAGTTTTTCTAAAGTAGGTCACTTATCTAAAAATAGCATTTGCATAATCATTGCTATCTAATCGTTCTTAAACTTATATTTAAACTTTGTGAAAGTAAATAGAATTTCTGATGATTATCATTTTGCATTATTCATCATTCTGAATTATTTTTAACATTTACTTAAGAATTTTTAATATTCCAAAAAGTGAATATATAATTTAATAGTCGATTATAATTGGAATTTTTTAATATGCAGTAATATATTACATGAGTAAAATTGGAACTGAAGCATATAGGCTGCAAGAAATTATATAAAATTTGTATAAGCACAGATAACAATAAAATAGGCAAATGATTAAAGGTATGTAATAACTCCACTTTTGTTGTACCTGATGTGAATCTGTTGAATGTATTCTTAGAAGTCTACATGACTATTTGACACCAGAACATTAAGGACTTTTTTAAATAAAATTTTAGTTAAACTTTATTTTTAAGATCAGCTGCTATTATGTAAAAGACCAGAATCCATCTTCACAAGCAATATATGCAATTAACAAATTCCTTGAAAGAATGAATTGCTAGCCTAGCTAAAGGGATACATTCAGATGAAGAACCACTAAGGTCCAATAATGTGTTCAGAGGTGATTAAGAAAAAGTATTCATAACCATCAGATTTGATGGGATTATTGAGCATGATGATAATTTTATTTGATGGTAGACCTAAGCTTTTCATACAGCCAACTCTGCTGAATGGTAAGTATGCCCTAACATCTCCTATTACTAAATCCATTACCCAACAAATGATTTCCGTTTGCCTGAAGAATTGTGGTGGAATATACATCATCACCTGTATGTGCAGTGGCTTTATTAAGATGGTGACAGGGGCTGATTTTGCTTCACCTCTAATAATGGAGCACACATGTGATACAGATATGGTCCTTGTACCTATGCATATTAATATATACCAGGTTGTTCAATAAGTTCGCGGAATGGAAATGAAGAAATCAATTTTTATTTGTAAAAATGACTTTATTTTTCAATGTACTTTCCCTCAACTTCAATACACTTATTCCAATGGTCTTCTTAATTTATGGATCCCTTGACTGTAGTGGTTTTTCAGCAGCTCTGCAAAATATCCCTCCACGGCAGCTATTACCTCTCTTTCGTTTGAAGAAATCGTTTTCCACGTAGATTGTTGAGGTGTGGAAGAGTCGGAGGGAGCTAAATCTGGCAAATAGGCTGGATGTTGCAACAAGTCGTACTTCAATTCAGTTATTTTAGCAATGGTTTTTTGAGCTGTATGCGCAGGTGCATTATCTTGGTGGAAAATGATTTTCTTCTTCTGTAATCCGGGGCTTCTTTCATGAATTTTTTCGTCTTTTTGATTCAAAAGGTATTATTGTAAAATAATAATCCAAATTAATTGTTTTGCCAGTTTGAAGGTAATCCATAAGCAAAATTCCTTTCGCATCGCAAAAAAACATGCTAACACCTTCTTGGCTGATTTTTGCACACGAAGCTCGCTTCGGCGCCGAAAGAGCCGGGTTCAACACCACTCCTTAGCCTCCTGGCTAAGCAGTGGTTGATTCAGGATCATGATGGTAGACCCAAGTCTCATCCCATTGTGATAAATCGACTGGATAAAGTCGCTTTTATTCTTCTTAAAACGCTCCAAAATGTTGCTGGCAAAGTCGCATCCGAATGTGTTTTTGCTCCATCGTTAGAGAATGCGGCACCCATTTTGCAGAGTGTTTTTGAAACCCAAATTAACACTCAAAATATTGCTCACTGTGCCCAATTAAATGCCTAAAGCCTCTGTTAAATCTCTTCAGTCAATCGACGGTCTTCCAATACCATATCTTGTATTTTTCCTGATGATTTCCGGTGTTGATGCAGTTTTTGGATGTCCCTCTCGCGGTATCGTCTTCAAGGCTGGTATGACCACTTTTTAATAAACTAGCCATTTGCAAACCATTGTTTTTGAAGGAGCAGATTCACCAAACACATTGCACCATTTGGGTATGAATTTCCATTGCCTTTAAACCTTTCTTTACAAAGAATTTGATACCTGAAAAAAGGCACAACACGTTAGATATAAAGGGCGGTTAAACAATGAATAAATTAACAGATGGAAATGAAACTTTTGTCGTGTTTCTAAGAAAGAACAAAATGAAAATGGCATCGAAGTTTTAGGTCTAATATTGACGAATAGATGGCGCTCTGCAAACTTATTGAACAACCTTGTACATAAGAACTTGTTTAGAATAAGAAAATGCATAAATTCCAATATAATTAAATGTTTTTAAAGAAAATAGTTTCATTTCTTTCTCTGCCTTTTAAGTATGTGACAATTTAATCTTTGATCAATAAGCAAGTAGGTCTAAAATCAGAATAAAGGGTGAAGAGATAGGAAGTTTATGAAATATGTAATGTATGCAATATGTACAATTATATAAAATTTACTTGATGTAAAATAATTTTGGGTGTCTAAAATGCTTAGAAACAGAGCTGGATTAATTGACCTATCTTCAGGTGACTCTACAGCCCATGATGGGCCTTGGCCT